CTCTCTCTCTCTCTCTCTCTCTCTCTCTCTCTCTCTCTCTCTCTCTCTTTCTCTCTCTCTAACTTCGATTTATCGAAGTCTGACCGTGTATCCCTGTCCTTTTCGATCGCGAGCCAGCCTATTATCTCTCTCATTTATCGCGTTCTCTCCCTCTCCGTCCTTCCCCCTCTCGTGGTCCCACTCTTCACCTTTTGGGCCCCGTCCCCTTCTCTCTCGTCTTTTCTATATAATACGCGCACGAGGGGTATGTCGCTCTCTTCGTTTCGCCGTTCGCGGGCCCCGTTGCTGGGCCCGTTCGTTCCTTCCTCCTCCTGGGTACCCCTCTCCTTCCCTCCAACCCTCTCCAACCCCCTCCATCATGCACTTTCATGTTCCTTTTCGTCGGTTCCTTTTTCTCCTGTTGCGAACAACACGCACCTCGACCCTCGGCCACGCACACGTACCACGCGTTGACGCCCAAAAAATTTGACGTTTCATATAAATTACTCGCGACGTCCCCTGGGCCCCGCTGCATATCCACGTTAGATAGCCCGCGTGGTCCGCGGGGTGATCGATGGGAATCATTCAGGCGGAAGATTGAAATTAGGCAGGGAAATGGAAATGGAAAGTTGTCGGTGAATTTTCCTGTTAATCCACTCGGTCGTTCGACGTAATTCTATGTTCGAAGAACGAAATACGACGGAATCTGCGTCGAATGTATTTCGGCTCTGTTGTCAAATATTTTGAAAATTAACACCGAGGTCTCATGGGTGCAAATTTTAGGATATCTATTTATTATTTATTTTAAATTATTTTGGATAAATTGTACGAAGGAAAACAGAGACGAAGGGAGGATTATTTGGTGTATTCAAGTTCTTGATCTTCTGATACACATCACTTTATAGATGTGAAACGAATAAAGATGTATGTTCATTCAAATATTAAAATATACTTTTAACGAAATCTAACTCGAGAAATTAATAAACACATTAACTGCACTCCTACAAGTTAATTCATAACTGACAAATAAATAATTGATAAACGTTTAGAAGACCAAAAATAAAAATCAGTATATCCTACACGAGCAATAAAAATAAAATAACTAACATGTTATTGGAAATAATTTTATTCAAAAGTACTTGGAGCGATAGACACATGAAAGTGCACGTCGCACCATTTTTATATCCAAACTTTTGTTTCAGACGTACCCCGATAGAATCTTCGAATTTTCACAATCCAGTTACGAAGCAAGATGCTAATCAATTAGGATAGTCGCGGAGTAAAACATTCGAGACGATTCGTAAAGTCTCCATCCTCCGGTCACGTCCACCGTGCCAGGAGGGTTGGTAACCAAAGAACGCTTCGGCGGTTGCTCACCACTCGCCCCGGGGCGATCTTTCTCGATATCTATTTTTAGTAAGAAGCATCCAAGACCAGACGGTGGTGATAACAAAATTGCAGCAGCGATTGGTCCGTGTCATTTTACCGCCACAGGCATGGGGATCGGGATAAGGAAGCCAAGAAGAAGAAGAAGAAGAAGAAGAAGAAGAAGAAGAAGAAGAAGAA